TCAAGAAAGCACATTATGAGCTTAAGGAAGCACTAAGGGCATGGTATAATAGGCTTAGCAACTTTTTATTTCAAAAAAATTTTTTTGATGGTAGTGTATAAATTGTTTTATTTCTTAAGAAAGTTGGAGAAGATATACTCATGGTATAAGTTTATGTTGATGATATTCTCTTCGGATCGACAGATAATAATTTATGAAATGAATTTTTTTTTCATTATGAGGAGAGAGTTTTAAATGAGTATGATGGGTGAATTTACATATTTTCTTGAGTTTATCATTAAGAAAAGAGAAGATGGAACTTTCCTAAGTTAAAAATATATATATTAAAATTATTTTGAAGAAATTCAATATGGAAGGTTATAATAGCATGAATACAATGATGAGATCAACCACCTAGTTAGATAAGGATATAAACGATAAATTTGTTGACCAAAAGAAATATAAATGGATCATAAGATTACTACTCTACCTGATTACTAGTAGGTATGACATTATATTTAGTGTTTATTTATGTATTAGGTTTCAAGTTTCTCCTAAGAAATATCTCATAATCTCCATTAAAATAATTTTAAGGTATATCATATGCACCAAAAACTTAGGCATCTGGTATGCTAGGACTTTTGATGTGGTCAAATATTCAGATTCAAACTTTGTTGGGTGTAAAGTAGGAAATAAAGCATATAAAGAACATGACACTTTATTAGATAATCTTTAGTCTCTTGGTCTAGTAGAAAATAAGCTTTGTAGCTCTGCCCACTACAAAAGTAAAATATGTAGTTGTAAGAAACTATGTTGTCCAAGTTTTGTGGCAAAAAAAATAAATTCCTAACTTTGGACTATATGTAGGTATTATATATATTATGTGTGATTGATGTAGGCAAAGGGGAGGGGGGGAGCTGGTAAGTTGGTTGTTGAGCTTTTATTTCCTTTTTCAGTTCATTATGGCTGTTGGCCGGGTTCTTCCCCTTATTTTGGCCCTTCATTTCCTATGCCTACCCAGTTCCTTCCCCCTGGCGATGTCTATTTGTTGATTGTGCCCTGCTAGCTGTTCAGGTACTGCTCCATTCGGCTGCTTGTTGGCCCTTTTCCTCCCCTTTTCTGATTGGTTTGGTTGGGCAACTGTTTGGGTTGTTTAGCTCCCTCTCTTCCCCTATATATAGTGGTTATTTTGTGACATTTGAGAGCATAATTTGGTGAGAAAATATTTGGAATGTAAAACCTGGGAGTTTTATTCAAGCTTACAAGCTAGCTCCCGTTCTCTCCTCCTCTCTTCGACTTTGTATCGGGCTTCTTATCTATTTCTTCTCTTCACAAGTGTCCACCCCATTTGTATCCTTCTTCTCTAAAATATAAATTTAAAATGTTGTTGTATCCTTTTATTTAAAGTTGTAAGGTGTCGCTGCAATGTGTTGTCCCTTTTATTTGTTATTATTAGGTTTTGTGTCTTATTTATTGTGTTAATTTTTTTCATTTATGAAAGGAAGACCATAGGTGTTTGCAATCTTAGTTTTTCCAAATTTTGATTGCATTAGTGACAATACTAGTGCAATTTATATCATGAAAAATCTTATTCAATATTCATGCACTAAATACATCGATATCATGCATCACTTCAGGGACCATGTAGTTAAGGGTGATATAGAACTACTATATATTGATACTAAAAACCAAATAAAAGATATCTCCACTAAACCCCTGAATTATGATACATTTAGCTTGCTCAAGATTTACATAAATGCTTATGAAAATTGGGTTAATGGTATGTTACTTGTGATTGTGCGTTTAAGTTTTTTTGTTGTTATTGTGAGTTTATCATATTGTGCATGTTTGTTTGGGATTGTTATAAATGTTTAAGTTGTGTGTTTTCTTGCTTATATAGAGTGTGCTTAAAGAATTGACCATAATCATCACACATGCACCAAAAAATTTTATTCACGTTGTATTGTATGATAACCTTCATACTATACAAAATACATAATTCAAAACAACATCAGCCATCAATTCTAACCAACGGATAAAATTATGTTAATTATTGAGGTTCAAATTGTATGAACAGGTTTATTCATGTAGGATTATGCACATGATAATCATCATTGGGATGATTTTAAATTCAGTCGTTACAATCTTTTATCATAAATCATACTGTACAAATACATGTTAATAATATATGATTAATTTATTCAAAAATCATATAGATGACTTCTCGGAATGAACAAATTTTTTAATGTCATCCGGCCAGTTCAATGCCTGATTTGTATTATATGATTTGACTACCTTTTGAGTTATTCGAACAGGTTTATTTGTCCTGTTATGAATATACTATCTAATAGCCTTCATACTATTCGATTGCTCTATTTTTATAAATTGGAGATAAATTTCATTCTAACTCACACCTTCCTAACTCTACTTTTTCCCTTCAGATCCTTGTCCTTAATATTTTCCAATGGCAGGTGAGAGATCCCGAGCTCTTTCAGAGAGTTCTTCCTATACCATGATCGATGAAAAGTTTCAATCAGCAAAGTATCAATCTACCTATCACTGATATGAGGCTGCCACCATAACCCCATCCATGGTGCTTAACTATGAAATCCTCAATTATCATGAATTAGACTTGTTTATAGGTAGTAAATTGTAATTTTTCTTACACTAGCCTTTCTTTTCCATCCTAAGATGTTATATGAATTTTTTTGCTAGCCTTATAATTAACTCAGCATGCACTTCCCTTCAATAAATGTCGATAGGTGTCTAGTAGATATCACCTATTATGATTTTAATAAAATTTTGCATATGTCTACTATAGGCACAAAACCTCACACCATAGCTACTACAAGTGACTACAGTGGGACAAAGTTAATCTTATACTTAGAAATGCTCCAATGAATATTCACCTACCTTTAGTCAACACCCTAGTATAAAATGTTTATATCATTTAGCACGTCCTTAAAAATATTATTTTTCACAAAGCTGATGATAGGATTAATAACACACATCTCCTATCAATCAGCATGAATTTTTTTATAACTGACACTGAGTTCAATGCAGCAAACATGCTTATCGATTAAATTAAAATCTTAACTAGCATTAGTAATCCTAGGGCCCATTGTAGGCAATATATAGCACTATGACATATCATATCTTATATCTTAGATACAAATTATAACCTCATGTACCTACACCAGCCAATCACTTTCTAGTCTATTATATCGACAACTCATTCCACTTACTCTTTAGTGATAGAAGTTGTGGGGTGCAACCCACATAGAAGAATGAGCAAGAGGAGGAATGAGGAGTACTAGTCTCTGAGGCACTTATTTTTGCAGCAACAACACCATCACCAGCACTAGCTTTTCAATCACCACCTCCCGACTTATCGATTAAGCATTTTCATCAATTGCTGTAGATAATTTCAATATAATTTAGAGTGCTTCTCTAAATTTCCCTTAGGGTAACAACTAAAAAAATTTAGAAACTAAGGGAAATTTAGAGAAGTACTTGATACTATCATCATAGTTTTTGGCTTGTGTTTATGGACATAATTTTATAAGAAAGAAAGGAATGTATAGGAGGTCCATTGAACCTATCAAGTGATATATATTTCTTATATTTCATTTGATCATGTTATTAATAAAAATGAGTTTGCTTTAACTTTTCTTTATATCTCGCTAAATTCTCTAGTTTTGGATTGACGAAGTATCATATGAAGTATTAATAAATTATCTTATTTCATACATGATTAAAATTATATTTTCAATATTACCATATATTAATTTAAAGCACATAGTGGCTAAATATGTAATTAAAATTAGGTGTAATATGGGGCCTTAACGGAGGGAAGTAAGCAAAACCAAAAATATTGAATTAGTATACACCATACCTAGGCATAGGGTTTTAAACATACTAAAATCTTAAAGAGATGAAATAATCATAATAAGTTGATAGTCATCCTTTGTTCCTACAAGCTCAACAAAGATCTAGGAATGTAAATGTTATAAATAGCATCACAATTAAAATAAAATTATTAGGAAAAATGTGCTATTTACAAAAACACTATATTCATATATTGTATTAATTTTCTTTATAATTCTATTTAAGTGATTGAATCTCCATTGCAACTATTTTTATTGGAGTAGGATAATTACTATAATTTTAGTAGACAATACTAGTGAATTGCAATAAAGCATATCTTTCTCGTGGGATCGATACTCTACTCTATCACTATATTACTTGATTAAGCACATATACTTTCATATATTAAGTGGGGTTTTAATAATTTTTATATCAAAGAAAATTTAAGCATTATTAGGATTGATATAGCCTAAAAGCATTTCACAGTTCTATAGGTTACTCCACAACCCTCATCAAGTTTTTTGTATCGTTATCAAGGAAGAATTTTGGCCCTTGGAAAATTTTTCTCTATTGTCGAATATATTACATAGTTAGACCTACTTACATTTTATTTTCTATTTATTATTTTATTTTATTTTATTTTACTTTTATTATCTTTGTTTGCATGCTTTAGAGCCTTAGAAAGAAATTTTTTGATATTTTATCCTAAAATTAAGAGAACCCTTTCTAAAATTTAGAAAACTAAGAAGATCTTGAAAATGGCTAAACTTGAGGTAGAGAAAAATCATTCTAGACCTTTTAAATATTATGCAAACCCTTTAGTAGACAGAATTCATTGGAGTATAAATATATCTATAATCCAAGCTAATAATTTTAAATTAAAATTAGTTATCATTCAAATAGTTCAGAATTCTCAGTTTGGGGGAACTCCTATAGAAGATCAAAATTTACATTTAGATAATATTTTAGAAATTTATGAAATATTTAAGTACGATGGTGCTAGTGATGATTCTATTAGACTTGAATTATTTCCCTTTTCTCTAAAAGATTAAATAAAAATATGATTAAATTTGTTATCCTCAGGCTCTATAACCACTTGGAATGAATTGACCCATAAGTTTCTCACTAAATATTTTTCACCTTTAAGAACTGAAAAACTTAGAAATAATATAACTTCTTTCAATCAGTTAGAAGGAGAATTCATTTATGAGAATTGGGAAAGACTTAAGGAAATGCTTAGAAAATGCTCGCACCATACATTACCTGATTAATTTATTATTCAAATATTTTATATTGGATTGGTATGATCTCTTAGAGTTATATTCGATGCTGTAGCTAGTTGACCATTAATGTTTAAGCCATTTGAGAAAGCTTATGAATTAATAGAGGAGATAACTATCAATAATTTCCAATTGCGAGCTGATAGGATAAATCATAAAAAAATAACTAGAATTTATGAATTTTGATTGCACAAGTTACAGTGATTTCAAAAAAGTTTAATATTATAGAAATAAATTCTAGAATAGGAATTAAGATCTTAGAGGATCAAAACTTAAATGAAGATAATAATATGCAAGGTACTGAACACATTAATGTAATTGAAAGATAAAATAATCCCTATTTAAATACATATAATTTTGGTTGGAGAAATCATCATAATTTTAATTTGTTCAATAATATGGGTAGTATTAATAAATGGAATGATGGGCAGAATAATCAAGTTGGAGCACATCTTTACAAGCTATTGTTAATCCTAGACTTACAAATTCTCTAAGATTTAATCAAATTAATCAATTTAAAAATAAGAAAATAGCATTGAAAGATTTAGTTATATGATCAGGAACTCAATTAGAAAATCAAGTAGCTTCTATTAGAAATTTGGAAACCCAACTAAACCAGACTGCAATTTCAATCAGTAGTAGACCTTTTAGATATTTACCTAGTAATACTTAAAATTTGATACAAGAAAAAAGATCAATTGAAGAATGAAAATAATTGACCCCAACCAAATTAAAAAATTTGGGCAAGTTAGGCTGAAGACTATAAACTTAGCGTTATGTGGGAGGCAATTCAAAAATAGATATTGTAAGTGATTAAGTCTAGATGAAGACTATAAACTTAGGGCTTCAAGGGTGGCAACCCAGTGGATAGTTTAAATTTGTAGGTAGGGTAATTTAATTTGAATAAAAAAAAAATTGAGATGTAAAGCGCCGTAGTGCTACCATTAGCGCCGTAGCATTACCATTAGCACCGCTGCACTGATGAGACTAAGTGGTTTTGAAATTCAAATTTTAAAACTTCTTCTCACTTATAAAATTATAAATGAGGTGCTTTAGAATTTTAACTATCAATTCTTGTCAGTTTTTTCAAAGAGTAATATATTTCTCTTCTTGGAATTTCAACTTTAGTAATGGGAAGAATCAAGCAAAAATAAATATTCTTTTTTCTCTTATCCACATGGAAAGTGGTACTATCATCAATAAACTTCACAAGTTCAATGACAAAGTTCATGAAAATATAAGAAGATACAAGGAGGAAATGACGAAAATACACAAATATAAAGTTTTAGAGTATGAGTTTCATCCTAGTCAAAATAGTCTACTTTTTTATTATAAGAAGTTTTGCCATAGCAAAATCATATCTGAATGGATTGATCTATATATTGTTATCAAAATATATCTTAATGGTGTCATTAGCATTCAAGATAAGAAATTTTTTTACATTTTCAAGATTAATGGGCATATATTAAAATCAAATTGAGTAAATGAGTTAAAAAAATATAGAATTTGAGAGAAATAAAGTATGTGTTTGAATCTTGATTGTACTTCATATATTATAGAAGGAATGTACTATTTTGAGAAATTAGTGCAAGTAGTTGGATCATGACTTATTTTGGCTTTTAAACTTGATGTGTTATAAATGGTGCTTAGCGCACTAGTTATCCCATAATTCATAGTATGTTATAATAGATTTCATTATATTTTATTAACACATATTTTACGTGCCTTTTATTATTCTTTTGAAAGCAAGTGTAGTATTCATTGTTGTTATATATCTTTTTATTTATATTTTATTAAAATTTCCCTTATGCTTATTATACTATTTATTAATTTTATATTGTAATTAATTAAATAACCTTATTAAAAAATATGTAAAATAGGATAATAATAAAACCCTATATCATTATTTAATTGAACACTATTTATACTTCATAGTGTGGAAAAGAAATTAATAATTATCTAACTTTGATCATTAAAATTACTTATTTAATTTAAAATTATAAGTTATACTTTTAATTTATTAATTTTTGAAATAAAGGATGAATAATTAGAATTAATTATTTTATATGAGTAGATTAAAATTTGAAATCTTAAACAATCTGAATTTGAAATTTATAATCTTATTAAATCCATACATAAAACTTATTAAGATTGTAAAAGGGTTCGTTGATATTCAAAATTACTAATTATATACTCCATAAATTAAAAGAGAAAAAAATTATAAAAATAGTTCTAAAAAGAAAAAAAAGCAAAAAAAAAAAAAAAGGATGAGTACATTCAAAAATTGATATAGTTAAAAGCTTAGAATACGATTGCAATCTTATACTAAAATGCATAAAGAATAAAATAAGAAAACTAATATTAATGATGGTGAACTAATGAAATTTTAATTTTAACTATAAACATATCTAAATATTAAACTATATTATTCACTTTAAAATTACAAAATTAATAATTAAAACTATAACCTATAAATTCAAATTCAACAATAATAGGAATGACACGACAATAAAATATCAACTTCGCATCATCGAAAATTCTTATGTCCAATACCGCGGTGTCACAATCAATAATGCCTCGGCACCCAAATTGCCCTTCCAATGCCGTGGTGTAGCAGTTGTAACTTCCTAAGGATACTACCTATTAATGAAGTGAAGCTATTACTCACTAAGTAATTAATCCACATAAGCAAGCACTGCTGTGGAACAAGAAAAATAGCACAACAATGTTAGTTCATTTGTTAGGTACTGTCGATCTTTATAGCACCACAATGCTAGATGTCTATTTGTATTTTCCTATAAATAGGTGTTATGTTATATTTGTATTTGAATTCAGTCACTTAGATAATTTCAATATAATTTGCACTACTTCTCTGAATTTACCTTAGTGTGACAACTGAAGGAATTTAGAAAAGTACTTGATACCAGCATTAGAGCATTTGGCATGTGTTTGTGGAAAAAATTATATAAGTAAAAAAGGTGTGTATATGAGATCCATTGAACCTATTTGGTGATAGATGATATCTATCTCTTGTATTTTCATTCTATTACCTATTTGGTGTGTAATAAAAATGAGTTTGCTTCAACTTTTCTTTGTATCTGACTAAATTCTTTAGTTTTTAATTGATGAAGTATCATATGAAATACTAATGAATTATTTTATTCTATAAATGATTAAAATGATGTTTTTAATATTATTATATCTTAATTTAATACACTGTGGCGAGATGAGTCATTAAATTTAGGTGTAATGTGAAGCCTCAATGGAGGAAAGCAGGAAAAATCATTAATATTAAATTAGTATGCATCATGCCTAGGCGTGGGGTATGAAATATACTAAATTCTTAAGGAGTTGAAATAACCATAGGAAGTCGATAGACATCATTTGTTCCTACAAGCTCGATAGCGATCTATGAATGCATACGCTCTGAATAGTATCACAATTAAAAGAGAAATGTTAGAAAAAATATGTTATTTACATTCATCAATCCAAAACATTATATCCATATAGGTTATTCATTATATTTATCTAATTCTATTTAAGTAATTGAATCTCCATGAAAACTATTTTTATTTGAGTAGGATAATTATTGTAATATTAGTATGCAGTATTAGATTTTGTGTATCTTAAGTAGGATTTTTATAATTTTTATATCAAAAAAATACCTAAGCATTATTAGGGATTGATAGAGCTCTATACCATTTTATAATTTTATAGGTTACTCCATAATCCTCATCATTATACTATAGAATCAAGTTCATAATGTTTGAATTTTAATTATATTACCTAATTTAATTCTGAAGGTTAAGCAATCAAATCAGGATCATTTATAACTAATGATCATATGATACAATCTTAATCATACTAGATGATTAGTAGAGAAATGCTCTAGATGATATTTATTCACCCTAGGGTTTGTACCAGATGAACATTGATTCGATTGAACTAATCAAATTGGACGATTTAAAATCATACAAAAGAAATTGAACTAATCGCACTATATGATATACATATTATACTGTATGATTAGAGGCGACTAAATTGAAAATTAGAATTTTTAAAACCATCTTTATAAGCTCTTGTTATGTCTTTAGCAAGAGTTTTTTGGCAGTTAAGGGACAATTTTCTTCTGTGAGAGAGCTGAAAGTTCATGAAGGTTGTTAAACCTCTAAAAATTAGACTGAAGCTAACCAAAAGAGGGGTGAATTGGTAATTTAAAAAATTCTTTTAAAAAAGATCTTTTTATACTTTTTTTTCAAACACTAAAATTAGATGATTTCAACAATGGATGTAGAAGTGAATAAATTCACAATAACAAAATAAATCAGAGTTTTCAATTACATAGTAATCACAAAAAAGTTTTGAAATTAAAATGTGAAAAAAGTAAAAGAATGACACAACATATTTTATAGTAGTTTGATCAAATCTGACTTACATCGACTCCCTGGAGGCCTCCACTCTATGTATTGCACTAAATATTTTAGTTTCTCATTTAGCCCCCACATCTAGGCAGAGAAGCTCTTATAAAAATCTCTTCCACTAACCCGGTGCGGTAGAGTACCTTAAATCTTTTTCACTCTCTTGATGAGGAAGAGAATCCTAAATCCCTTTTCTCCCTCCTAGAGATGGTAGAGAACCAAGAATCCATTACTTCCTCCTAGAGTTTGCAAAGAATCATAATCTAGTGCTGATGAATGTCTCACCAGAGGCACCAAAAAATCAAAGCAGAGACTTAAAGAAGATTGAATGGAACTTTACTTGGAGTAAACTTGTAAAGCTCTCACAACTCCCCCTCACAAAAACTCTCCCTCTCTTCTCTCCCAAAGCTCTCTTCAATTGTCTCTCTTTCTAAGCTCCCTCTCAAGCAAACTCAACAGCAAAAAGATGACTATAAGACAATATAGGAGTATAAATAGAGAGCCTCAATGAAGCCCAAAATTTCAATTTGGCTTCAAGGATCATCATGTACGATCATGAGATCGTCTTGTATGATTATTACAAAATAGCACTACCAGACAGTACAAACTTCATTGGTCTGTATGATCAGTTCAAGAGACTGTACTGATCGTCATGTACGATCATGCGATCAACATGTTCGAATAGTTCAAGAGACCATATTGATCATCCAGTATGACAAGCGATGATGGGTGATGATTAAATATCATCCCATGTATCTCTCGGGTCGTACAGTACAATCGTTCTATATGCTATTATTCAGAAATTAAATCATAATTACTCTCATAATCACAAGATCATTTTAGGCATGATTGTTACAAATCGTCTAGTATGATGTATATCGTCCTGTACGATTAGAGCAAAATTTGAAAATTAAAATATTACCAAAATTATTATTGGTGGCTAAATATTGTGATTATACTTGATCATCATGTATGATTAGGATCGTTTAGTATGATTAGTTTAATCAAACTCAATTAATAAAGGGTGCCCTAATGAGGGCTTTTTTGGTTAACTGATAAGTCCATAACAATATAAATCATATCGTACGATTAGTTCAAAAAATAGAAATTTTTATAACCCACTAACTCACTTAACTCACTCCCATGAGTGTGTGTTTGCAATGTTACTTAGCTTAGTATCCACCATATACATGAGTTGACTTAAAAAAGTTAAAAGCACATTGAAGTTGATATTATAAACAGACTCAACTCTGGTCTACCTAATCTTAAGTTGATTGAAGTTGTAAATGAATGGTGGACCTGAAATGTTAGTGAGAATGACAACAAAATAGATATATAATAAATAGCAGTAAGAGAACAATAATGTTTGTTATCATCAAAATCATAGTACTTGGGTCCAGATTTGTAATAAGAGCTTGGAGAGAGGTCATTACATAAGGGAGAGAGAAGATGAGGTTGGGACAGGGAGAATGGCCTTGAGAGTTTCAAAGGAGTGTAAGAGAGTCTCACACTGTTGCTCCGACTGACCTGCACATTGGGTCCTCGAATTGTGCTGATGTTTCTCTTAAGAACAGCTTTATAAAGGAAGGGTTTTGGTGTCACAGGCCTGCTAATCAAGGAGGCTAATGTTAAGTCAACTCTACCAAGCGTGGGAGCGAAATGAGGAAGTGGCGACTCCATCGGGCTAAGGAGGCGAGAGGAGGAATCAATAATTACCCAACTTGCAGGCAAAATGATGGACAACCACTCCGTCAGGCCGTGGAGTCGAGAGAAAGAAAATCTTCGGTAGTGAAAAGTCTGTAAAGACAATTCTCCACGTGTTAAGGGAGAATACCATACTGTCAAGTTGTGTACTAAAAGAGAGTCACTATTTAGTACAATTTCCAAAGAGGATGTTCTTCAGGGAGTGGACATAAATCAATTTGATCGAAACATTATAAATTCTGGCTTTTGTATTCTTACTTTTTCACATTTTATTTTTTCTTGCAATTTATTTTTATTACACTCTTGCATTGATTTGTTTATCTTGGAGAAAGAGACTTTTTAGTTAATAATCGCTAGTTGAATCTTGTTTTAAAAATTAGTAAAGAAAAAATATATTATTTGTTTTCTACAAAAATAAGGTAAAACACAAAATATCTCTTAACTGTGTTTGATTTTGGTGAATATATCTTAGTTGTTTTTATTAACGCCTCAATGTTTCAAAATTTGTTTGTTAAGTAAAAACTTTACAAAAATATTTTAAAAAGATCCCCTTCCCCCTCCCCTTCCTGTGTTATAAAAACATTCATTTGATTTCAGAACCAATTGTCATCTTTCAATCCCTCCGACATACTTTGACATGAGTTTGCCTTAAATTGTCAATAATTCAATGTTGTATTTTAGTATCAAATAAATAATATTACTAGTCATTTTAATATGAATTCTATTAAAATTACAGGCAAACTACTACAATCAAATCATCAACATGGCCAACTTCATGCATAAATTTTGGCAAATCTGGATGCCTGATATATATCCAATTTTCAAATCAAATTAACAATTATAAAATCAATTCAACCAAACATTTATAGAAAATTCTAACCAAATTTCTTCGCTAAGAAAATAAAATTATTCTGTGCGGTCACTAGTTAATTCAGAGGTAAATTAGAATATGTCACATCACCTGGTACACAACACCGATACAAATAAAAAACTGACATGATGCATCTTTATTCGTTTCCAGATGACGTTTGATGACCACACATAATAATTTATCCAATAACAGACCCATACATAGCAAGAGGAGATAATTGTTTAGTTGCCTATCTGAACTCCTTTCAAAGCCTAAACACATTCGAGTTTCTTCACATTTATAAGAAAAATTTAATCAAGGATGATCTAATAATAAGTTACCTAAATAATTCACCAATTTTAATGATTTAAAAGAGAATGATTGCTTATCAATATGAAAAACTAAATGGAAAATAGAATGAATTTTTTGTCAATATTTCAAGCCATAAAATGAAAATAAAAAAATAAAAAAATGCTCACCAGCATATCCCAAACATATTCCGGTGTGTCGTTGACAACAATTAAATTTATTTTTATTCTATTTAATATGCTTATAATCCAAAGTGCTCTTATTTACAGTCAAGCATTACTTAGCCAGAAAACATGTGACCACTGTAAGAGAAATGCACTAAAAATTTGCAGTTAAACCGTTTATTAAAAATTTCAGAGAAAATATTTTAGCGAAGAAACAAAATGGTGGGCAAAACTAATTGCACTAATCAAAATGCCTAAAAATATTTAGATGGGAATAATATTTTGACAGCAAATATAGGCAACCAAGATACCTAAAAGAGCCCCAGCAAGTACTTGTGATGGAGTGTGACCAAGAAGCTCTTTGAGTTTTCTTTTACTTAAAGGATGCGCTTGAAACAAGTCCTCAACAATCTTATTAAGCACCTACCATAAAAGCAAATACAGAAGTTTATACTGTAGTTAAAAGTCAATATAAAAATATCAATTTAATCAAAGTAAATGGTTCTCTAATCTATGTTATTAGATTTTATATGACATGCAAACTAGCAATAATAGAGTGCATAAACTGGGTGGATAACAGGCACTTTCTGGAAGTTACGGAAGATATATATACACTGAACTAGTTGAATTTGAATAAAGAAAGTAATTGATTTTCTAATCTGAATAATATAGATAGCTACAAAAGAATTCTAAATTAGCGGCGTGATAATCTGATAGGAAGTGGAAGCAATTACGCAAAACCAGATAATAGAACAAGAAAATTAGGATGACAAACACACAAAAAACACTTTTTATTGAAAGAAACAGGGAATAAAATACAAGATACAATCGGATCTTTAATTAAAGAAGAATATCAACTCTCCCAAATCCCTCGCCACCGACTAGAGCTCTCCCAACCTAATAATTCTAAATTATACAAAATCAAACATAAAACTAAATCCTAGGGTAAACAACCTACTTATGGCATACTATAACATTGAAACTCCCAAAATGGCCCTCCCTTTGAAATTTTCCTCCTAGCCCACCACCCCCTACACACAAAAAAAAATTTCCCCCCAAGGCCCCACCCAAGGTGGCGGGATTTTCACCCAGGTGGCAGGTGGAATTTTCGCCTAGCATAGACTCTGGCCGGTCCTGGAAGGACCGGTTCTTCCCTGACCAATCCAAGAGGTACAAGTTCATCAATGCTACCCTCCAAATGATCCACCTGGTCCTCAAGGTGGAAAGAGCGAAAATGTTGCTTCACCCTCTCGTATGGCTCCCATGTGGCGTCATAATTAGATATGTTCTTCCATTTTATCAACACTTCCTTGATCCCTTCCTTTCTCTATTGTACTCCTTTAAACTCCAATGATTCTAACACCACCTCCAAATTCTCAATCAGTGTCAAGGGTAACTTTGAACTAGATGCATGATCATTGATAACTCTCCTCAACTATGATGCATGGAACACTAGATGTATAGTAGCGGTCTGAGGAAACTTCAATCGATAAGTCATTGCTCCATTCCTCTCTAATATCTTATAAGGACCAAAGTACCTAAGGGCTAGCTTCTCATTTCTCATATTAGCTACCATCCTTTATATGTAGGGATGAAGCTTCAAGCATACCATCGATCTCAAACTACACGTCCTTCCTGCACCCATTTGCCTGCTTCTTCATGATTGCCAGAGCCCTCAACAAATGCCTTCTTAATTCAGCTAACACCATATCCCTCTCCAAGTAATGCTCCATTAACGAGACTAGTGTGCTACTTTGCCCAAGGTGCACCATGTGAGGTGGGTCCCTCTCATACAAAACTTCAAAAGGAGTCATACGTAAAGCCGAATAAAATGAAGTATTGTACTAGTGCTCCACCCTTGCCAGCCACTTGGCCCACAGCTGAGGTGCCTTCAAAACAAAACATCGCAGGTAAGTCTCTAGGCTCCTGTTTACCACCTCAGTCTGGGGGTGGTAAGTAGTGCTCCTCTTTAATACTATCCCCTGCATCATAAATAGCTCCCTCCAAAACTTATTAAGGAACACTTTATCTCAGTAGAACACTATAGATACTAGCATCCCATGCAATCTAATCACTGTTGGTGGAATTTTGAAAATATATTTTAAAATATTAGTTTTCATTGGGACTTAAAATTAAATTCTAAAATCGAATTGTCTCGTTAGAAAAAGTATATCACCTCGAGAGGTGAGAATAAAATTTCATAACGGTATTCAGATTTAGAATTATAAAATTCATCTTGAATATCGTGACCGGATGCTAAAGAGAACTTCATATGGCCCCGAAGGATCAAAATGAGGTTCAACTGAATATCCAGCTACAATATTCAAGAAGAGTGATCGTTAGGTTCACATCCAAAGCCTTATCAAAGAAAGATGTATCTCCCCGAAGGGGGAAAATATCATTCGATGATAATTCTTTGAATATGATAACAATGATCACTAATATTTTAAGTTTTCCCAAAGAAATCCAATTGAGTTTTGAAAAAATCAAATTTTAAAATCAGATGCGTGTGTGGTTCTAAATCTCCTACGAGCGCAAGCCCTCGTAATTAATTACATCGTAAGAAAACGAGGTCTCCTACAAAAACTCTCGATTAAAATAACGGCAAAAATTTTGTTAGAATTTCTAGGAGTGATATCAAAAAGAGAAGTGAATTTTGGAAACTCAAAAG